GCCTGGCGCTCCGCTCAAGTATGTCAAAACATTGTCAGTTTTGCCGGTTGTGAAGTAATGAGGTGGCCACTCGCCCACAAACACATTGCCCATGCCCAGTGCTTCAACCTTCCAGGAACATGCTCCTCCTCGCCCCTTGCTCGCTGCAAGGCCTCCGCGAAATCGGACTCTGCCTGGTCAGATTGAGCAACATTGACTTCACCCAACGTGCAGAACTGTAAGTGGCAGTTGAATGCAGTTGGGGGATTGAAACCATCCATGGTCACCGAAAACATAGTTCCTTGCAAAGACCGTTTGATCGACCCCTCAAAGGTGGGTTTGTGCGTACACTCCCTCAGACTAACATGGAAGCTCCCAGAAGGCCTCTGTAAATGGAACTAAGTCTTCCAAAGCAATCCTGGGAGCTTCCATGGAATCGCCTGGGGGAGGGTATCCAAAACCAAATGGCGGGCGCCTCATCGAAGCGACTCAGCTGCGCCAGGGCGGTGCCCCGCTCCTGCCAGGCCTCGACTTGGCTTCTCGACTTGGAGGCGTCTCTGTTTGAAGGCGTTTCTGTTGGCTTGGCATCCGCAACGAAGCTGATATGGCCATGAGGGACTTTGTGTGTCTAACGCAAGGAAGTTTGAGGCAATAACAGGTCTGTGATGCCCTTAGATGTCCTGGGCTACACGCGCGCTACCTATGGCGAGCCATTTTGGGGTGGATGAACATCCATTGGTTACTTATTTTGACGTTCACCAGGGGTACCGGGTTGTATGGCTGTGGGTCAAAATGGGTACCGAAAATGGAACCCTAGTAAATGGAACCCATGACTAAAACATGCCTTCCCCTGGTGGTTTAGTTTTGACCCACAGCCATATGCTTGGAATTGGAGTCCTTGATGTATGCTTGGAATTGGAGTCCTTCATGCTCTCAGCATCCTTGTCCTTCAAGTCTGCTTCCCACAATGGGTCCCCTAAGCCCAGTTTGAAATGAGCGGATGCCCTGTGCAAACCCTAATAGAGAGGATAACCAGGGTCCAAGTTTACTCCTGGAGCCCTTCTGCATCGCGAGCATTTTCCTGGTAGGTTTGAGTTTGAGTAAGCTCGCTATTTGGGCAAACCTCGCACCTGACGTAGTCTTATCCCATGGTCAAATCAGTTTCATCGTCACATAGTGTTGGAACAAGAAAGCCCAAAATCCGTTTGAGCTAAACATTGCAAACAGTTTGGTCCTACACTGGTGCTCCGGAGTAATTACTTCTGATTATTTGCGTGTGTGCGTTGGCAAGCATAAAGTCTTCAGGCAATATCAATCACCGAGCAATCACCAAGGCAGATCTCCATACTCAGCGTTGCATCGGGCAAGCAGCCAGCATTCTCATCCCAAAATCGGTGATGCGCACTATTTTTCAACACGGTCTTCCAGCTGGATGTGGCAAAATTGGGTGCACTCATCCCAGCGCCTTGACTGTGTGTAAGTGAGAAAACTCAGATTGTCATCGGGGCTCAATGCAAAAATCGGGCAGTGATTGCACAATGAACCAATTAGTGACAAATGTCTAGAACACAACACTTCATACGAGTCGCCCTGGTACTCCTACATCCCGCTCCAGCAGAACGTCTCAAGTCCCTCTTGACCCGCAAGTTGCAGACGGGAATCCAAAACCAGGCGCCGAATTATTCACAAAACCAATCAGCTCAGCAGTGTATTTGATGAAACAGAACCTGCCCTTCTGCCCATGGTTGTTTCATCAAAACCTGCCCTTCTGCCCAGGGTGATCAAAGAAATGTTTCTTGCCCTTCCCATGCAGCCCCTGGTGTGTAAAGCCCCTGTCGCGAGGGCGCCTGGAAGCCCTCATCCAGCTCCGTTACCCGAGTCCAAGCAGCCACGGCCTGAAGTGGGCTCATAGTGTTTGGATGCTGAAAGCGCATGACGGAATGAAGGCATACAGAACAGCCAGGCATGATGCATTCCTTCCCTGTGAACTAACTTTTATTTGCAGAGGCACAGACAACAAACATATAAAATGAACAGGCACTCAAGAGCGTCGGGCGAAAGCCACATCACTGCATGCCACAGCTACATGAAAAGCTGTCGCATCAGTGCGGAGCAAGCTACGCAGTCCTTGGAAGTCAAATCACCATCGGCCATGCAACAAATCTAGGCAACCCTTCAATTGCTCAAACTGGGCCGAAGTCACGTGCACGACAAAAACAAAGATCTTGCAACAAACATCGCGTGGAAACACAAGAACAACTGTGCAAATCGCTAGTGACGACGTCAACTGGACATTGTACAAACAGGCAAATCTGCATGGTGCATAGCCAGTAGAACAGCCAAACCGCACATGCTTAGATCTATGCTTAAAACATGATATCAAAACCGAGATCAACCCAGAAGCTCCCAAGCAATAATTATCTGGTTGGCACAAGTCAACCCAGACAAACCGTGATGGAACATTCTCTACACGTTTCAGCAAAACTCTATGGGGGCACAAACTCAACCCCTACAAGCCGCGATAGAATATCCATTAAAGAATCTATTTTCAAGAAAAACAAAAAAGGGCAAACAATATCAATCCCTGCAAACCGTGACGGAATGTCAATCGACCACCCATCGGCACAAAGGATCAATGCAACTTCTGACGAGCTGAAACGACACAAAGCGAGTGCTTGTGTGGTCCAATATGTTCGGTGGCGTTACCACCATGTGTGCTATGAGGAATAACAGGTGAGCGTCCCAAAGAGATAAGCATATAAAAACGCACGCACTCATCCACGCACTCACCTGTTTCAGCCAACCCGCGATGCAAATCCACGGCGATCCTCGCCTCCTCAAACTCGCCCTCGCCAGACCTCAACCACGATTGATCAATTGTGCCGGCTACAGGCCCGTGATAAATCTATGCTAATGCAGTGCCAATCCTTGAGCACCATTCTATGTGAGCAGTCAAGAACTTGGATCATTTGGCTGTGGCTCAACAATATGCACCCAAAATGGCACCTTGGTAAATGGAACCAAAGACCAAAACCTGCGCAAGCCTAGTTCATTATACTTGAGCCACACCCATTGACCATGGAACGAAACACTTGCATCTCACCTTCACATCCTTCACCTTCGGCCTCTTCCTCACCTTGGACCGATTTGCGTCTTACCTTCACCTCCTCCACTTTCCTCCTTGGGTGACCAAAACAAATCGCTTCCCGGAAACAGGCAGCGCCTCTTGGATGCCTCCTGGAATGCAGACAGCAGCTCTGCAAGGCGCCGGTCCTGTTGCCAAGGGGCAATGAAGTGGGCAAAGAATAGAATGGAATCATTAACCTATATATATATATATATATGATATATATATATATATATTATGATACATATATATATATATATTATGTGATACATATATATATATATACGATACATATATATATATATATATATATGTATCACATATATATATATATGATAAATTTCTATATGTGGTGTATATGATATATGTGTACATATATATATATATATGGCCCATATATATATGGTTGGTACAGTTTGAGACTTCCATAATTTCCAAAAGTCACACTTGCGAATGTAAGCGCTCTCGACTTCGCATCTTGAGGCTGAGCAGACAGCTGCCCTGCACATGTCCAAACATGTCTCCTCTGGGTCAAACTCCTCCTCTGCCTCCTCCTTCGCCATGTCCTCTGCATATAGGCCGCAACTCGCAAAGCTGTTGTGGCCAACTGCTGACACCAACGCAGAGGAAATATGTTCAGGTCAAGTATTAGATTACAATGCAAAGGAACGACGGGAAACAGAAACACAGACATGTCATTCCCAATCTGTCCCATCGCGATTGAGGAGGGGTAGCCTTGCAAGCAAAATTTGGGGCAGCGCAGCTGTGTTAGCAGTAGGCTAGTAGTAAACGGTCTCAAACTGCACAATACGGCTTCCACAAAATAGCTGAAACTAAATTGATAAAAACAATATTGCGTGCCCAGCTTCCCCGCATAAGACATAGCCCCCCCCTGGGACGGACCAGTATTCATTTCCGAGCAAGGAAGTTAAACAGCAGAAGTCAGTGTCATTTTCTGATTTGCGCGGGCACCGGTTGCTGGTATTGAAATTGGTTGCATTATTGAAAGCTTTGGGGTCTGGGGAAAACACGTGTGTTCCTAGGGTGCATTATAGTACTAGGGGATGAGAGGAGGCTCTCTGCCTCCAACCCAAAGTCCAAAGCCAGCGGTGCCTCGGCCAAGCGCCTCATTTGCTCCATCTTCTTGCTGACCAAAGCCATGCCTCGGAAGCCAGCTCGAGGGAAGTCTAAAATCGGAACGAAGTCAAAGTCTAACGATTTGGCTTGCCCTGTGTCCAGCAAGCATTGTGAAGCACGTAAAGACTGCTTCACGGCAGTTTCAGTGCTCTTGTGGGCCAGCGTGCGCTTGTCAGGCGCCCCGGCTTGCTTGGCTTTGCCCGAACTGGCGACGTGCAGTTGTGCAGCAGTGACCCTGAATGGGTTGGTCAAGCCCTGGGTGTGGGCCGTGCTGTGCATTGTGTGATCTCAGTGTTGCCAACTTCGGATTTCGGAAAGTGCCGCCTTGCGAATGACAAGTCCTCCTTGACTGATAGCAATTCTGTTCTAGAACGAATTGCGCCATCTTCTCAGAATTACTTGTGCCAAACAATACTCCGTTTACTCCTTGCTTCTTGTCTATTTTGATTGGCTGCTTTGAGCCACAGGCTGGGAGCGCACCGAGTATCACCACGACTCTACCCCAGGCGTGTCGATCACAAGGTAGTCGACGCATCTCGTGGCATACTGCCAACATCAAAGGAAAACACACAATCATGATAGCTTGCCGATGGTACAGCTGTGGTTAAGGTCTCTATGGGAAGCCTTACCAACCAACTTCAAGAGCCCTGCAGCAAATAGCATATTGGCGTGGTTTGCCAAAATCAGCCCAAACTCGAGGACTCTGCATGCACCCTTGGGCCCAGAAAGGCCCGCAATGCCCTCTGCTCGGGCGCACCGCTGGCTTGGGACGTTCACGTTGGGTGACGGGCGGCAAAGATCCCGAGCGCGGCAGCGCCTTCTCCTTCGCACTCCTGACGCGACCCAAGGATTCACAGCGGAGCAAATCGGAGCCGTTGCCACGGGGCTCGCTTCACTATGACAACAGAATGGGAAGACATGCCAACCTGATTGGCTGCTTGACATCAACACGGCAGGGCAAGAATCCATGACGCTTCCCCGCAAAGAAAACAACTATAGCTCTACAACTAGCAATCAAGATCCAATCAGGCGCAAGCATGAATGCAAATATATGCTACAATGGCAATGGCATGCCGAATTTGCCAGCAGAAGATACCTCCACCTCGCCCCCTTCCTCCCGGTCCGTCCTGCCCTGCTCGGAGCTGGGCCTTCGCCGATTCTCCGCGCTGCGGGGCCCACTTCGCCCGATGGGCGGCAGCGCGCGGGTGGCCATGACATGGCTCGGAGGACTTCGGTTTGGCCTTTGTCGCTTTGGATCGGCTTCAGAGCTCTCCAACGAAACCAACTTGAGACTTGCTGCAATTCGAAACCAGCTTCTTTCGTGTTGCAGGAGCATGCCAAGGGCACGGGCTCTGGCTCTGCGAACGGAAAGTCTTGCTCAAGAAGCAACATCTTATGCATGTGTCTCTGCTTGATTCGATGCGCGGTCACCCCATTATCCAGTATCCGGCTGAGACAAACTTGGAAACTCGCAGGACTGGTAGACAACATTCCCCTTTGGAGGGCTCCTGGTGCATGTCCGTGATGCTGTCAAGGCTGCGGTCGCTGCGATTAACTAACACTACATCATTACTCAGTATCGAAAACACGTGACCCAATCATGCCGTTCTAAGGCTACGTTGCTTTTTGGCATCCGCACATCGGCCTTTCTGCCCGAAGAACAGGACCACAGAATCAGCCTGGCTCTCCTGAATGCCCCGGAGAACCAAGCCCTCCTCTGTGAACCATTTGCAGGGCCAGCGCATTGTGCCAGCGGGATGTAGGCAGCAGCCCTCAAAATTCGGCAAAACTCGATACTGTCGCCTGACACGGAGGATGTTGCACTAATGCGTTGCGTGGCATTGCTACATGTTCTTCGGAAGCTATCCGAAGCACAAAACTGATGTTCTCCAATGCAAAAACTGTCACGCAAAAGCAAACTGCCCAAGAAATGTTGTGAGCTATGAAGTAGGAGCCGGATGCAGCTTCACTTGCGTCTCAGTGATTTTGGGGGGACTCTTACTGAGCTCAGTCAGCTGTGTGAGTCGCTAAAGTGGCAACAACCTCAAGTGCCCAGCGTCGGCAAGCCTCAGCCGTGAGGCCAGACCATGACTCGGCGGGGCCGCCGAAGTTGGCTCAAGCCGCAAATGGGTTCAACTTGAGACTGTGGATGGTTGCAAAATCCATTTGCACCGTTCAGAAACCCTGGTTTCTGATGATTCCCGTGTAAATACCAACAAACAATGGCTTCAATTCCACTGTTCAAAGTGATGCGAATTGGATTTCGTCCATCCACAGCGTGACCCGCTGAACGGCCTGAACTGGATATTCCATCCCACCATGGCTGCCTATGGAAGTTGAGTCGCCACCTGAATCTACGGTAGCACAACCTTACCGTAGCTGCAGACTTGGCATTGCCCCTTCAGCGGCCCCACTACGGTGTCTAAAAATCAGCTTCAGCCTCAAAGGCGGACACGCCTTTGATGCACAATGCTGAGGTCACAAAAAGCAAGCGATGCCAAATGCCATCACAAAGCCACGTGCGCCAGATTTACCTTAGTCAGATACAGACTTACGGAAATGCAATACAAATAGGGAAGGATTTTGGGTCACTTTCCCACCTGACTTTGAACTTCGCGCGCCGAGATGCTACGAAAACCAGAGAAAACTGCATTTGCCCTGCCCAGCTGCTGGATCACTTTCGCCCCAAATTCTTAAATCACTTTCGCCCCCAGGTTCAAAATAGGCAATGTCACAATTGTGTCAACAGATCGCCTCACAGATCCACTTGCACGCAAGTTCTTGTGGCGCTACCTCGTTCAGATTGTCTGTAGTGGGCTCTTGGTGTTGGCCGCGTCAGCTGCTACTTTCATTGCATGGCCAGGCATGAGCATCGCTTCCCCACGCCTGGCCCTGGTAAGACTGGAGAACACATGAAGCCTCTAAACCACATAGACCTCAACAAAAAGCGGATGAAACGGAGCAGGACATCTACCCACTTCGTGCAATGTGTTCTGCTGAAAGAAAACTCAGCAGCTCAAGCCACGGATCAGGAACTAAATTCATGGCAAGGACTTCTTTACGGCTGCATCCCGCTCAAGGAAGAAGCAAAATGCGAAATGGAAAGCACACACCTCGAGGGTTGTTATCATCGCACCAGCTACAAAAAAGGCACCGCGCACTCAGGGCAACAGACCTGTGACTTTGCAAAACACGTGCCGCTTCTTCATGACGAGATGCACAAAGCTGATTGCCACAAGCCATCTCCAAGGCGTCCTGCGAGCAGCAAAGCGACAACCAACTTAGACTCATAGTCTGAATATCACAGTGAAAGATCTGCAAGATTGACTCATCACAGGGCTGAATGGCAGAACTTGACTGGAGAAAACGGACTTGGCTTGCTGAGTCACAGCGCGCTTTGCTCACCCGCCAACATGTCACTGACAAGCCTATCCCTCCATTGCCATGTCCGCGGCCCCCCCTCACCGTGTCTTTGGTGGCTGGTAACTTCTTGAGGACATCATATGAGTCGTCATCCGCAAAAATGAAGGTCAGCAAGCCTTAGTCAGCGGAAAGAAGCATTCTGCGTATATCGCGGAGATAACATGACCAGAGAGGACTGAATTACCCGAGCTTGAGAGGGCAGTGTCCCTAGCGGGTGTGGTGTCCTGTGAAATGCTGGTGTTTCCTTTTGACTATCTCAAGATAGGAGAGAAGCACAAATCGCTCGTTGGGGTCATTGGTTGTTCAAAACATCTTTGGGAATGCAAGCAACTGCTAAGAAAAACACAATCGACAATCGTGAGGAGTCGCTTCAAGCTTGAATCTCTGTCTCAACAAAAAAGGACAAGGCCGGGCCGGTCGGTATCCGACAAAACTTTCGTTGTGAAGCTTAGATAGTAAGGGACTAATCATTGTTCCAGGAAGACAAAGCGACACTCGGCTTTTGAAATGAGCTTAACTGCGTCCGCCGTTGCAAACTGCTTTTCAAGACAGGTGAAGCTTGCTTCTTATTCCCCCACCCTTCCGCGAACCCTTCCGCAAAGCTTTCGCGGCGTCGCTCGGCATGCTTGAATTGCTTCCGCGGGCTTCCGCGAGCGTGCTTTGGTTGCTCGCGCTTCCGCGGCCACTGTGTTGCTCATGTTGGGCAAAAACCTTCCGCGGGGCTTCGGCAAAGCCTTCCGCAAAGGAAGGTCGCCGAATCGACGAGACGCGAACCGTTGGAACCCGCCGAAACTGTCGCTGGAGGTGTCGGTAAGGAGGCACGATAGAACCCGCCAGAAGCTCGCGAGAGAACTTGCGCGCTGCAACCTTGAGCGCGCATGTTTTTGTGATAGTACTTTCCGCCAAACAAGTGCAACCAAGGGCAACCAAAGGCTACCAAGGGCTACCTAGACATGTTGCTACAGGCTACCAAGATATGCCGTAAAACATGCGATGCAAGCTTGGTGGCTGTCCTTGGACACTTAGACTCCACTCCAACTGAAAAGTGCGGATGTCAAAAGACAAGTGTTCAATGCTACTGCCTGCGGGGCGAACCGAATGCGAACCGAATGCGAACCGACCGACCCTGACGGTTAGGTTCATGCAAATCGAACCAAATCGAACTGTGGCTACCTGGATTGTGCATGAACAATGTACTCACACGTAACATATTTTCTGAAGACAAAAGCTTTGCTAGGTCACACAAACATCAAACAGGCAAAACGTGGACATGCAATGCGTGTCCCAGCGCAAATATGCTGATGGCTTTTACTGAGCCAGCAGGACTGAAGGATGAAAAAGGCGAGTCCCACCAGTTGCCGACTGCTGCATCGGCCAAGTGGCGATTGGCAAAGCCAACGGTTTTTGTCTTGTCCTGCATCGATTGGATAGCATGCTCCAAGCCATGCCCTCTCTTTTTCAATTTCTTTTTTTGAGCAAGCCCCGGCAGGGCGGCAGGGCCGTCCCTGGGCACTGTCTCCTTGTGTGCGATGCAAATGGCTGCTTGCAGCTCCCTTTTCTCGTTGATGGTGATGTCACCTGTGGTAAGGGCAGCACTGTGCGGCAGAAATGGAAGCTGTGAATCGCGCTGGCACCACGGTTTTCATGGACAGTGTTAAAAGTGATGCCAGCTGTCTGACTTGAACCTCTGAAGCAGCATTGAACATTGAGATCCAAGTGGCCGTGCCAAAGTACGCATTCTTGCGATCCACTGGCAATGGGATCCTCCAGCATGGGCTTTGTTCAACTTGGACAATGACTTGTGCCGCGAGAAAAGAATAAATTGATCGCATTCATGCTGCCAAGTCTGCCGTGGTCAACATACGTTTCGGGTAAGTACTACCCGCCTTTTCAGGTCAACCTGTCATTTCTTGGTAATAGTGCCATGCCTTGCCCTTGATGTCAATATCGCTTGCCACGTGCCAACACCAGTGCGAAGATATACACGCAGCTAGGAGTGTGACACCTGCGAATCCCAGCAACTGTTGCTCCCCAAGAAGCACAGCTGAGTTACAGCGCCGGTCAAAGCATCAGGCCTTTCCCATCTGTCATAACAATGCGATACTTGCTCAAATCCAATGGAATCTATCCTTGGTGACCCCAAGAGACATGGTTTGAAGATTGGAAGCAGGAAGCAAGCTAGTGCCAATCACACTTGGTGTGTTTCAGTGCTTCTTAATTAGGGATAAACGCCAGAAGTTGCAACCCACAAGCCTCCTGCAAACAACTTGATTCCATCTGAGCGAAACTGAGCCAGAAGACTGGCGGTCCGAACATCGCCCACCAACAAGCACTGCTTTCCAGATTGTGTGTGTGTGTGTTGCAACTACCGTAGCCCAACGCAACGCGTCTCACCCCGTCCTCGGCTTTGCTCACGTTTCGTGCGAGCTGGGCAAGGAGGGTATCCAGCTGTTCTTGCGAGAAGATATTCCGAGCCCGTTGATGAACGAAACCTGAGACACTGCGAGGTGTGCCTACTAGTGTGTTCATCAGCTGCCCTTGGCCACGGGGATCCCAATGGACATGCCGCTTGCATCGAATCCCACGGAAACGTGTTTCAGCAGTCTGTCAGTATTATTAAAGCGTCACGTTGGGGCCGTTGCCTTGTGCGTTGTTGTCGTGTGAGTAGTGTAACAATCGCGCGCACGCTTGGTGGCCACAGGGACTGAGCTTGGTCGAGCCAGGGTCAGTGGGGCAATCTTGCTGAGCTTCATTTCTGTCATGATGACTAACATAGTCAGCGGAGGTAAGGACAAATGCCAATTTGACAGAAATGCAAAACGTAGGCTCTTCCAGCTGCCCATGCGGCTGAAG